GTAGTATGCACCCATTAAGTGAAGCGCCGGTATTTAGCCACTAAAGCAAGCGTCAAACGACAGGATGTATATGTACATACAATTTTTAAGCGATTTTTTAATTTCTCATATTTTATTAGATATATTGTCTGCTTTAACTGCTTCATAAATTGAGTAAGCGTTATTACAAAGTTCATTTTACTCATTCCACAACGTTCAAATAAGTACTATGGAAATAATATATATTCTAGTATTTTCTTAAAATAGGATCATATATTAGCTTTGTAAAACTATCAAATAGAACATCCGTCTAATTTTCTCCGATTTCTCTGTCGCACTAAATTCCAAATAATTCCTCCCTCCTTAAAATATAAAAGTACTTACATATTGTAGATATAATGGTGACCAGGATTGCCTTGATCATGACGTCACGATATGATTAAAGTTCATTTTGCTTTACGAAGCAAAGTGCATAAACATATTTTTTTTATGAGTTTAACTTCGACCAGTTTTTTCAACTGTCAGTTTATTACTGTACTGTAATCCCTGAACAGTAGGTTTGATTTTATATTTAAATTCCCATATGAAATCTAAAGTTGGAAAATTCAAAATTAATTTCTATTGTAACGACAGGAATATTTAAGATTAAAATAATTCCGGAATATTAAACTCGGTTCTATAGTTTCATCTGTGCAAGAAGATCTTCAAGGGGCAATAAATGGAAGGAAATCTTGAGAAGTCGATGGGCATATTTTCGTATTAACAAGCAAGAAAAGAGAAAAAACCTAAAATTAGATGTCTACTTACAAAATGACCTCTAAGTATATAAACCAGGGGAAGAACAATTTATCATCTTTTTTTTAATTTTAGTAAAATGTTTGCATCACGTACGAATGTTTAAAAATCAATATATCAATTGTTTAAGGAAATTTCGGAACGCATTTTTCAACACTGGTTTCAGCTTACAAAAATCTAGAAATCGTACCAGACACATTGTCGACTTCTTTCGCTGAAAATGAGGCAGTAAAAAGAAAAGAAAAAGTTTGTGCCGCGGAAACCGCTAGAAGCTTCTTTTTACTGTCTCTTATTTCAACAAGAAAGCTAACAATGTATGTTTGAGCGTAATTTTCAATCCTTAATAACTCTTTTCTTGACATTGCACGCAAAATTCATGCCGTGTTAAACAATTGTTTTACTGTTTGTAAAAATTTTTCTTATGTTTTTTTTTAAGTATTTACAGAAAAGGGTCAAATTGTGGTTGTCCTCCTAGACTGAAAATTAGTTTTGCAAATGTGGGTTTCAAGTACTAAAGACCAATGAAACCATATTTATACACAATATTTCTCCCACGATCCCATTTTGAAATTGTCATTATCCTTTTATTTACGTTTCTAAAACACGTGTAAAATTATTAAACAAATTGCTGTCCCAGAAAGTGCGTAATACTAAACACATTTCACTTTAAATTAATCACTCTGTGGAATCCTACTTTGTCATAAAATCCAAATTTGCAGCCTGTAAATAACAAACTTGTCAAACCAGTGATGCAAAAACAAATTAGTTAAACCGATAAATGAGAAAATTCCACAAAAGTTTGCGGCCGAATCTCGCAAAGCCAATTTCTTCGCGTTTTCACACAATCTCTTGCTTCCAGATCGCTACCCTAATCCGCCACAATAATTTTAATGGCCGCACTTTCTTCAAAGCTAAACTTCTAAACGTCCCTTCGATGAAAAGGGAGCAATATTTTAAAGTGCCTCCGCATTCGTTTGACGGATTCAAATGCATTAGAGTCCTTATTAGTCGTCATCTAGACACTCCGGGGCTAATGTAGTAGTTATAATGACTCCGAGGCCCCGGATCGTTCAATTCGGCCCATTAATTCCAGAAAACTTCGCCACTTTAAATAACTTGAAAGAATCGTCATTAGGACCACTTAGCCGTAAGCTCGACTTCCAAGACGAAATTCCCCAAGCGTGACGTCGCAAGTATTTCAATCTAATGTAGACGTCGTGCAATTTTGATTTTTCTTTATGGGAGCTATTAAAAGATGAGCATGGTATGCAGGATGTATGGTAATTGTGTGCAGTTTATTGGCAAGGAGCGGCTGTCGGATGGGTGCCCTTCGGGTTTATTTATTACCCCTAATGTGTAACCATTAACGGGGATATTTGCATTAATATGACCGTGCGTGGTTATTAGCCATTATTATGTGTTAATATTTTTATCGATTGGGATAATTAATCGGATTCTTTGTAGTTTCAGATGAACGCCACTTGATGGAGAATTAATTGGATTCTTTCACTTGCGGTAGCACACGAAAGAATATTAAATTAACTGGATTTTTCTCAGAGACTATAACAATTTATTCTTCCAGTAATAATTATTGCATTATCATTCCAATGAATTGTTGATTCAAGAACGCACTATAAAGGCGAACGGTAAAAAAGTAGGCCTTCTTCATGTCAGGGCATCTACCCTAAAGCCATAAAAACTCCGTCCATACGTAGTTACAATTGTGACGTAAAGTTTTTATTTGTTAATTTTGCCACAATATACAGGAACCCTAGTCCTCACGCTATTGTCATTTGTACTAAACTGTAACGGTACTAATTTGTAACTAAATCTGAAAAGTAGTAATCAGGGGACTATAATTCATTCATTCTTTCATATTTCTTTCAGATTTTTAGTTCAAATGCTATAATGACACTATGTAGTTCCTCAAGTCAAAACTACTGGACTTTTAAACCTGTACTACCTGCTATCTAAAAATAACACCTTTATTTATGAAAATGCTGATGACTTGATAATTTATGCTTATTTTGAATACAGCTTGTTAGTCGGCAACGTTAACTAGACGTACTAAGTAAAAACATTCTACGTTCATTAGCTCAATTTTGACGGACGTGTAATTATGTACACAGTTTAGTTCCGTAGTATTTACGTGTATGTCATTAAAACCTGTCAATAGACCAAACTTAACCGAAGTATTTTTAAATAACTATGGACCTTAATTTCAAGATGTACAGTCTAGAAATACACTTGTGTAAATCAAAGCTTTTCACTATGTATATTAAATAAAGATAATATTGAGATGCAAATATGTGAAAAGTGTCATCATTACTTTTATTAGAATTTATCAACGAACTTGTGTCTACTGAATGTATCTAAGGTATAGTGTTAGAACACTGTATAAAACGAATAGTAAATAACCCTATTTGCTAGCAAATTTAGACAAACTTCTCCAGAGTTACAGGATAATTAAAAAATGATGCATTAACTCTTTGACGGACTGTTTATTGAGAATAAGTAATTTTAGAAATCCTTGGGTCCAAATGTAGAAGCCTTCAAACTTTAATTGTTCTTTTAGATATTTGACCATATTTTAATTAAGTGTTGAGAACATGAAATCGATAAAAGTAAATTTGGCAACGCCTCTCTAAATAATGTAACCTTACCTTTGTAGGCATCCTGTAATTTAACATATCGTGGCGTAGTACAAACCTCTCGTAGATGAATTTCATCTGACAGACCACAGTCAGGAAATAGTTAAAAGGCACCAACCACATACTGTGGTTAGTAATCTTGTTAAAATGTTAGCCTTCAAAGGCACCGCTGAGATGTTCATTTCCGCATTAATTTTCGATATATCAATGAATATTATCTATAAATAGAGTGCAGAGGCTGATTTTTAGGGTCTAGGCTCTAACCTTAAGACTTGAGAATCTCTGCACTTTAGTGTTTGTTACTTACATTTATTATATTTTTCCGACATAAAGTAGCAACACAGACAAAACATCACATCAAACATAGCTAAGAACACTAATATCAGAAAGAAAACCGAGAAAATGAGAGACAAATTTCATATTGAATTAATACTACCACGTCCATTTAATAAAGTCACGCTCGTGCATTGTCATGCATACCCACAACTCCCCATAGTCACCTGTCAATTACCAAATACCCAAACATCCCTATCTGACACAAAACAACGGAAACTTTTATCTGTTATATCCTCTCGAATCCGCATGTGTCTAAATGGCACACAAGGATAATTCTCTTCGTTTTGTGGATTTCGGGCGCGATTTAATTTCGCAGCCTGAGGCCGTCGACACACGGGGGTCCCTGTATCGTATAAATATGGCACTAATTCACTTTGGACCGCTGATAATACCTACGCTACCATCTCAGTCGCTCGCCCTTGGCACTATCGTAAATTCTGTTCGTCCTTCTTCTCTTTCTCATCCGCGCCATTTGTTCCCGACAGATTTATTACGAACATGAATTCTCGCAACCGAGGCATGTGACAGATTTCTGTGTATGGCGCTGCAGCGCCCCCAACTATACTGTTTTTTCCTGCAGCCGGGGAAATCTGTTAGTAATTTTTGACGTCCCTCGGCGCCAGAACGACATCACTGTAATTAAATGTAATATATGACTTGAAATTCGATAATGTATTGTGACCGACGTTGGTACAATCTACGCAAACTAAAAGTTTATAACTATGTTTTAAAAGTGAACAAAAAAAATGTTTATTGAACCCAATAGACACCAAATGTTCATAAGATGGTGCAAGAAAAGAGTAATTCTCATACATTGACCTAAATAACATAATAACTCATTTCTAAATGTACTAAATATATACTTATTATACATAATATAAGTATAACAGTTTTCCAAACCACTTCATTTCTATTTTTTTTTTTTTTAATAATGTATGCTTCAGGAAAAAATTCCTCATTCACTTCTCTTGTCATCATTCGTAGTTAGAATCTTTTACAAGATACCCTACATGTTTAACACAAAAAAAGCCATTCGCAGTAAGATGCCGAAATGATCTAGACTTGCAGACATCAATTATTCTGCGGCACAAAACTTCGTCGTATCAGTTAATAATAGCTAAGAGTCATTATTTCAAAATATTTCAGACTTAACTATAATGTGCGAATAATCCTATATACTTTTTATGTTTCGCCAGACCATATATCTTTCATTTTTAAAATGAGTTTTTTTTGTTGTAGTGTGAAGAGATGTTGGCTACTGGCGATATCTGTGTTTTCGCATCCAGGGCGGGTCCCAACACCTGCTGGCATCCTGCATGTTTCACGTGCAATGTCTGCAGGGAACTTCTCGTTGATCTGATATATTTCTACAAAGAGGGCCGCTTATACTGCGGGAGACACCATGCAGAAACCATCAAACCGAGGTGCTCGGCTTGTGACGAGGTAATTATTTTAAACCCACGCAGATGAAATGAACAAGAAAATGCTCTAACATATGAAATAACGTCCACGTTCTAGCCATAGCCGAGAAATTAAATTTTGCATTCTTGTGTCTTTTGTTTTTGTAAAAAACTTCATGGGAAACCTAAAAAACTAGAACCATTTGGACCTTTTTCTTTTAAAGAAAACTAAGTATTAGGAGTAAGTTCGTCATTAAAGTGTTGTGATGTCCTTGTTGTAATCGCTGTACAATTGTCGAGTTATTTTGCGCTAGAAACGCATTATATGTGTGATTACGTCGCGTAAGTTACCAAGCTGGCATTTCATGCCAAAAATGATTACCCACATTATAAAAACCACCAAGATGGGTGGTCAGGAAATGGTCGTTCTGGTGGGTCAAATTAGAAGGTCATTTTTAAAATTTATATAGGTATGGTGAAATGTTCAGGTACCTATATAAGAAAGATAGTATAATACGACATATTTTCCACCTTTAAAAAAAATGACCTAGCATTAGCTCGTTATCTCCGCACAACTGTTTCACATATATGCGCAAAAAGACAACAAAATGATGCTTACGGTATAAGTAACTTACTGTACATACAAGTAAGTATCCAAATGGCTAGAATCTTGTAAGAATAAAGAGTATTAAACAATAATAGTATATTATTATACTAGTTTAATAAGACAAAGGAATAAGTGCCACAATGCGTCTTATTAAACGAGTATAATATACTATTTTTTCTACTTTGCATCTGATCGGAAACAAAAAATTAATAAAAATTCAAGGTTATAAGGGCCTTTTAATTCGAAACGTTAGTTGTAGCGTTGTGGCTGACTTCACAATGTCAAAGTTTGACATCTAACCACCGAACACTAACAATCTAACCTAAGTTTGCCTCAAAAAATGGAAGAAGGGGACTTGCACGCCACCTGAAATACAGTTTAACAATTGATCCCATTATTAAACTGTTTTCGGTTTAATAATGAGGCCATTGTTAACGCAAAGTAGAAAAAAAACATTTCAGCACTCACTTCGCTTATAAAAGACCCCAAATTCGATCCCCAGCATCTCCAACTTTTTAGTTGATTAAATCAAGAACAGTTCACCCATTTTCCAGTAAATTTGAGAATACGGTCCTACTAGTATTACACCGTACCCAGTCAAACTGATATAAAATGTTAATGACGGCATCACAAAATTTTTGGTCATGGAAAAACTCACCTGAAACAGCATGCTTCTTTAGGTGTAACTAAAATTTGTCGGCATGGAATTATTACTATCGAATTTCCACTTTAAAAGCAAGTTGTAGTGAAGAGAAGTTCCATACGCTTAAAAATCGGACTTGGTAACTTTCAAAAATCAAATTGAAGTCTCAGATTTCAGTTGTCGTAATTTTTGACATGTGTATTATCTCTGTCTAGAGTTCACATTAATTGCTAGTTTTAAGCGAATCTATGTTGTGAGATTGTTGATTTAATACCTACAAAAAAATTGAGTGATACCTACCGTACGAAACAGAAATGCTATAATAAAGCAGTTTTTCATATAATCTGAAAAAATACCAACACCTAGTTAAAAAAAAGTAATTAGTTAATTAGTTAAAGATTGACACGGAAAGCCAACTTTAATTCATTTTATTTTCGATGGCGAGGTTTATGACCGTCTGTCGTATAAATTAGTATCGCTTTGTAAGTAAAAATTTCAAAACATGGAAAGACAATAGCTGACTTTTGGTGGCATCATGGTAGCAGTGTGATATTTTCTATTTTTCTTGGTAGGGTAAGGGACACACAATATTTAAACCTGCAGTACAAAGTCTAATCTAACGCCGAATTTTGGGAAATCCATTTAATCTGCAGATCAAATAAAATAAATAAAGTTGGATTTTTTTATCTTTTCCATCACGTGACAATTTTATACATATGCAAGCTTGAACAAACTTCACTATCTCTATCTTTGTTCAAAGCATACTGTAACAAAAGGAAGTTTATCTGTTATTTCGGTTCAATGTATTGAATTAACAAGAAATATCACAACAGAACTGGTGCGAAACTTGACCCATAGTACTACTCGGTTATTCAGCTGACGATCCAACAAAGGACACTTATCAATGTCAGATATCAATTGTGTTCGTGAATGTCCACTAACTGATGCCTTATGGAAGACGTGAGAGATTCAGTATGACCCTATCCGGCATAATCACCAGTATGGCATAACACTATGTTATCAATGATGTGAAAACGTAGCCACTCTTGCTCTAGGTGAACCCCCAATTTCTAGTTGGTGCAGGCTGTTTTTACAAACTGGAGCTCTGGCAGACACCAATCAAAGCCTTCAGTTCAAAAATTCATGGACCAAGCAATAAAAACTTGTCGGTTGTTCACTTTCAAAGAAATACTGAATTTCATGCGCTAAAACAACAATGGATTCAGTTTTTCAGGATAATCGTGACCGATTATCTCCTAAAAGTTCACATCATTACAGGAGAAAGTATAAACAACTGTGCTAAAATAATCATTGTAAAGGTTAATATGTATGTTGCTTCACTGGGCTAAGGTATTCTTTCACCACAAACTGGCATTAGCTGTAACAACCGACAACTTTTTTTATTTAGTTTTTCGTCACTCATATTTCCTAAACTATCGGGAAAGAGAGTAAAAATAAATTTCGAACGACATTCTGACTCCCATTTCATGAAACGATCCCAAATTATGTTTTCATAATTGGAATTTTTTGTATTACATACCAAGAAATTCTTCACAAACCATTTTAAACGATCTCCAGGCCTGCTGTTCTAATTTGTGGGTCCACGAAGTTGTTGCTTAAGTTTGTCTCCATTTAACTATCGACAGTATTTTGAAAATATGTACATAAATGCCGATCCGTTTTGCCGTTTTGTCTAGTACCTTTACAAAATTTTTCCCCAGTTTGATGTGAATGACGATAAAATAACATGATTAGGTTGAAATAATGGTGAGTATCTTATATTCATGTGCCTAGGTGTAGTGATGTTGATTTCTATGACGCTAATCCTTCTTTACATAAAGATCGGTCTTAGGTCTAGTGTACCACAAACATAAAAACATTAATGACCGTCCACCTTGTAGTCCCATTAGCAAATGCAATTAAAGCAGTGATATTAAAGCAAATTTTTGTCTTGGTAAATTTGAATTATTGCCATCCATGCTAATAACTCAGTTTACAGTTGTCAATTTTGACATGAGCACCCCTAACAAACGTGTTGATTGGTTGAGACGATAGTAGCTGTAGCTGTCACAAATGTCACTTGGACAGTCAGCTTTGACATCATAAAATTTTAAATAGGTTGCCAACCTCACAAAAAAAATCACAAATATTAATACTTAGTCACTCGGTATTTTGCTAATTCAAAATTAATAGTGGGTGTCGTAGTTACTAGGGAAAGGGAAGCCCAAGTTCCCTACATATCATATCATTGGTATTTCAAAGTGAAAATAAATCTACTCAACTATTTCGTGAGGATGCTTCTACAATGCCACAAAATATGTAAATGAGGAACCCAGAATTTGTTTTGTTTGACGACCGACATTCCAAAATATTCAAAATATGCTTGTTTTAACAATGCCGAGATAGGTCTGCTGGTTCTTGCTATAGCAATTTACCATCACGGAGCGAAACCCATTGGAACTGCCTTTATACCCCACGCTGGACATTTGTAAATCATGATTTGAAATTAACTGTAGAAAATGTAGCACTCAAATACGTATAAACAAAAAAGTAGTGCTAGAAAACTACCTTTACATTGAGTAGGCCCGCAAACCAGACGATAATAATCTGATCTCAAGATATAAAAAAAAAATGAAACTTATAAATAGTGTTATTATTGACGAATAGAACTATATTTGAAGTCATTTTATTCGCATGTGAGTCAAATACAATATTTTTCTATCTTTTCCAGATCATCCTCGCCGACGAATGTACTGAAGCCGAGGGTCGCGCTTGGCACATGAAGCACTTCGCTTGTTCCGAATGCGAACGCCAACTCGGAGGACAACGCTACATAATGCGAGACGGACGTCCCTACTGTCTGCACTGCTTCGACGCCATGTTCGCTGAATACTGCGACTCCTGCGGCGAACCCATCGGCGTCGACCAAGGGCAGATGAGCCACGAGGGCCAGCACTGGCACGCCACCGAGCTGTGTTTTTGTTGCCATACGTGCCACACGTCGCTCCTGGGACGTCCCTTCTTGCCGAGACGCGGCGCCATCTACTGCTCGATCGCCTGCAGCAAAGGCGAACCCCCGACACCTTCCGACAGCTCAGGACCAGGGACGCGGATGCCGAGACAAACCAGGAGCCGGCCTCCGCGACCACCATCACCTAACGAATCCAGCACTCCGCCGCCGTCGCCCAGCAGGCGGCACGTTTCCGGTTCGCCAACGACGTCGTCGCCGTCGTCACCCCACGCGGTGCTACAAATCACTAATCTGTCGAGGTCGCCGCCGGTGAGGTCGCCGAAGATGGGACGAAGGGCTTTGCAAAGGTGGGTGAAGTGAGAGAGCTATTACCAATTGGAAATAAAATTATTGTTATTATATGATTTAACAATTCTCTGTCTTTGTAGATCCCCAAAGCCGGACCGTTCCATCCCCAGCACTCCAACTCCCTCGGACAACGGCAGCACCCTGCTGAACCCCGTCGAACCGTTGGTCTCGAGCGAAGATGTAGCCTCCCGGGGCCTTCCTGCCCCTCAAAGCCCCGGTGGGCGCGGTCTCGACCGCGTTCTCCTTGAACGCAACCTGGAGCGCCTCATCAGCGAACGAACCGGGCAAATGCATTCTTCCGACCTCGAGAAGCTCCTGCACGCGCGCGATCGAAGCCGGGAACCCCTGCACCTCGCCGATCTGAGTCTCGACGACTGGAATCCAAAAGGTGTCAACGACAACCAGGCGGAGAAGCCCGACAACATCACGAACGAGAAAGAAAACAACAACACTACCTCCGAACACATGCCTCCGCACGCCTCGTCCATGCCGGAACTGGCGTTGCCCGGCTCCAGCGAGAGCGGTGGCAACGCCACCCCCGGTTCGCCAAACAAGAGAGGACGAGGACTGCTGAGCGTGCGCTTCCAGGGGGACAACGAGGCGTTCGAGGGGGACGAAGCAGACAGCGCGAGCATGGAAGCTTCGAGGAAGTTTCCCAGGAGTCGGAGTTACGCTGGAAGGTCGCGGCACGTGGATACGCTAGAAAGGAAAGGGAAGCCCAGGAAGACGATTTCCGAGACGCAAATGGCCGGGACCAGCCGGCAGGACGACGACGCAGAGAGCTACTGCAGTACGTGCTCTTCAAGCAGTTCCAGTGATGATCTGGATTACCAGTTGCCACCAAGACGTGCCTATGGAGGCGTGAGAATCTCTTATGTTCCTAACGACGCTCTTGCCTGTGCCAGAAGGAGACAAGCGACTAGCCAGAAGTCGCCAAGTAAGAAGGGAGCGATGGACGATAAGGACAAGAATTGTGTCATATCTTGATTGGAGATTTGCCTTCCATTTTTGTAACTGATTGCCAAATATGTAACGCATTATATTCAGGGTATATAATGTTAGGTCGATATTGCCGAATTTGTAGAACCTGCCTTGAAATTGTGCTTCTACATACTTTTGTGTTCTTTTCCATATGTACAAATTTATAACGTATGTATACTTAAATTGTTTTATACCTTTTCTATCTACAAGGTTATGTAGATTGTAGTTATGTATAATACAATATTTATTAAGATTTTTAATATAATCATTGTTTTTACTTGTGTATATTGTAAATAAAAGATTTTGGTTTTTAATAAATGTAATAAAACTTGACTTATTAGTAATAATTAATCTCTCATACAAAAACAAAAAATTGGTCAAAGATTATTTAGACAAAACATGGACAGAATCTTCAAAGTAGGATGCTCGCTTCCGTCTGTCGTCATCGCTGACAGATTACGTCAACTATAGACATATGAGATTATTTCCAGTTAATAAGCTCAAAATAAGACAAGCATTTCATTTGTATCTTTCTTTATCAGTAAAACACAGAAACCAAAGGACTATAATTTTATTGTCTCAAACTGTCTTAGTAGATATTCCGCAAAGGATGATTGTAGTGGATCTGCTTGTAAACTTGTATGGGTGGAAAAGAAGGAACAATTTTCGGTGCTCCATGACAATTTCGCTTATTGAAGCGTCTTTCTCAAAGTCAAAAATAGCTAATAACTACTCTTCAATTTTTCTGAAAAAGTTCCGTGCTCCCAGTGGTCAGCACATCTATTGCTAGTTGTCTAACTTTGAGAAATTGGCCGTCTTCACTATTGATTTTGTTCCATAATAAAGCCAATCCTAAGTATTAGATTCGTGGACTGGCGTTTTGCGAACTAATGAAGCCATCTTCTACTATGCATCAGTTTCTTGACTAAATATTTCGAACAATTTTCTTTATTCTCTTTATTTTTTTATCAAAGTGTTCGAATCTCAATATTCTTAATACTCTTAATATTCTCGTTAGTAAATGTCTGAATAGCAATCCCCATTATTTTTTTGTTGTATCTAAGTATATGCTTTTCTAATATGGTTCTTCAATCAACATCTCTAAAACTTCGTTATCCAATTCGTTCAAACCTTTGTTAATTTTTTCAAGGTCTCGGTTTTACTTTTCTTGGGTACTTTATTCAACAGATTTATCTTGCTGTCTATCGAATAGCGGTTTGTTTAATTTATCAAATTGATTTTCGCGAGTTTGTTAAACTTAACTCCGACCAACGCATCTTTCAAAGTCAAATCAGTCTTTGTTGTGGTTCCCCAAATATTAAGTGTTTTAGTATTTCTGCATAAGCAACAAAACGCTGTGTGTTAGATCAAAACAGAGGAGGGTAAGACGATTATAGTTTGGTTATTGGCAATAATAAAGTGTCTGCAAGCGCATCAGGTTAATGTTTTAACAAGTAACCCGCTATTAACTGTCAAAGGTGCTACAAAGACAAAGATTTTATATTTCGTTTTTGGTATCTCAGTTGCCACTAACAACAAAGGCAGCGACAATTCCTGCACCCTTTTTTGCTATAGCACTGATGTTCTAAACGGAACAATTACCAATTTTCAGTTTGACAACCTGAGGGTTCCTTAAACAACATCAATATCAGATGTGACCGTCGCTTCGATATCGTCGTCTTGCATGAAGTTAGCTCTATGTTAATAGACAACGACGGCGAAATCGCAAGGTTCGCATCGCCATATTCAGGTATGGAATCCCCAGGTATGTTTAGAACAATTTATGAAAAGCTCTGAATAGAGCCGAAGCTGAATATAAAAACGAATCGAAACAGAAAATCAAAGAGATTATATTGAAGAACCCCACTGAGGAACCTCAGATCGTTTACCATCAGTGTCTAGAACACACGTCCCGAAACAAATATGGAACCATTAAAGAAAATATCAAAGAACTTGTCAATTGTTCACTCCTACAAGTATTTTGGAAGGAATATGATATTTGACGAGTCTAACAAACATGCCATTACTCCCAAAACACCTGAGAGAGTACGCAGCTAACTAACTAAACACGTGGCTTAAAAACGAGTCACATGACCAATACGAATGCCAAAAACACAAACAATATCGACTGATAACGGACGCAAACGGAAAAAAAAACATAGCACCAAACGATTCCAAAAATACAGGCGTAACGATGACGAACACAATTTGGAGTAGAGGTTTACACCAATTCGTGCAACTCAAGCACAACATCGAGCTCACTTCCGAAACGCTCATCGTTAGCCATATTTCAAACCTCGGCTACGTTAACATGTACAAGCACGTAAATATATATGGAATGACGGGTAGCTCGGTTCTGAAGCTGAGCAAGACCTACTTTCCAAGATATACCACATCGATTTCGCTAAAATTCCAACTTACAAAGCGAAACAGTTCCACGAGTCTTCTGGAATCGTAGTCAAGGATGATGACTGGGCTGGCCGGATAGCTGTGGAAATCCTCTCGTTCATTGACGACAGCAGAGTGCATTAGTTGTAGGCAAACCGGAAGATCTAATGGCTGTCCAACAGAACCTACTGTTGTTGGAAGATGACCAATTTAGAATTCGACTTTATTATCGTGAAGGACACACTGACCTAACGAAAGAAATGTTCAAAGTCGACGACGTGATTTTGATTGCAAACATCGCAGCCAGAAAAATAAATTTGAAAGTGGACAGAGTCGTAAAAGAAAAGGGCGTTCTGCATGCCATCGTCGGATTTCTTCCGCGCAATTTAAAAATCGAAGGTCAAGCGTTTCAGCGCATCTCGCGCCAAAGTCACAATGGATCGGCCTAACTCGTGAGTAGAACAAGAGAAGTTGAAGAATTTGGCTCTTGTGAAGACATCGGTTTTTACAAGATCAAGTGTGCTAGGGATTACACTGAAGCTGAAAGAAGATGCAGTTTACTGCTTCGTAAAAATACAAATATATTCGTAGGGGTCTCAAAGAGTTTCGGGCTTTTTGACTCAAGCAAAAACATTTTTGGGCGAATTATTTTACAAGGAAGCCGTATGTAAAACTTGACTTGTTTAAGTAGAGGGCCAGGACTATTATCGATGGAGAGATCAATCACAATCTTTATAATGTCAAAGTAATGGCAGGTTACTACTTGGGACAAGACAAACTCGAAGAAGCACAGAAATTTGTATAATATAATCTCAAGGATCTACCCGAAGAATTTTGAAGCATTCTTAAAAACTGAGAGTCCATTTTTACAGAAATTGAATAAAATACTGAAAAAGTGTTAAGTCGTCTCTTGAGAAAGCAAGCATCTTATGTGTAGGCTGTATTGTTTGAATGTGCCGGTAGAAAATGTCGAAAAATTGTAGAAATGTATGCAGGAGGAAATCGAAGTCGGTCATCAAAGTAAAAACGCCTACAAGTCTTAAAAATCTATGAGGGATGACAGGACAATCCATATAGAAAAACACGAGACAACGGACCTTGCAAATGTGGGACTGAACCTCATATAATCATTAAAACCTGTACGCCAAATCGCTGAAAACCTTATAACAACATTTATAATTCTTATCCGAAGCGGAATGGTCGCTTTGTGAATAGGGCTAGCTTTCTGTCCATGCCTATCGTTTTCAATTATGTACAGTGAGTTTGTGGTACATCAAATAAAAAATCTTCGCTTTCGAGTGGACGCCATATTACAAGTTGGGAAAATTAGTCGAGTAGTTATAAAACACTCAATATCTGAGAAACCATAAGCAAGATTGATTTGACTTTGAAAAATACATTGGCGGTAGCTAAGTTTAACAAACTCCCAAAAATCAAACAATTTGATAAATTGAACAAATTTTTCAAAAAGGAGAACGTTGTAAACCTAAATAACTTTGGTAGAACTGAAATGTTGCAATCGATCAGAAAAACGAACCGCTATTCGACAGAAAGGAAGATAAATTAGTTGCGGACGTAAAGCACTCACGAAAATTAAACTCGAGATCTTGAAAAAAAGTGAAAAAAGTTTGGAAAAACAAAATAGAAAAAATATTAGACGAATTGGAGTACCAAATTTTAGACATGCTAGAAAATTATGTCAGATCCAAGAAAGACATATTAGAGAAATTGATGAACACATTTATATATCTATTCAGACATTTACTAAGAAGAATATTAATATTCGCGATACCCTCATGGACAATAATTTAAAGGGCGTGGTATTTTTAAACCAATTTGCGAGGCTATATTGTGAATTTTACTAAATTTTTAGACAAGAAACTGGTGTCCAGTACCTTCGAGATTTGCGGGAATGGTCAGTACAATGTGATAGATTCGTGGAGTGCCGTTTTGCGAAATAATGAAGATAACTCGTTTTTCGTAACCATAGGCCCAAGATTTCACAAAATGTATTTCATTTTTCACGATGTTTTCTCCTCTGAATGGCTTACTAGTTAAAAACCTTCTTCCTGAATGTTCAACCTCTGCGATGATATCATCAGCCTTTGATGTGATATAGGTAGCTTGCAAGTTGTTTTCTTTTTTGGCTTAACATGTTGGCCCTCTTGATATTCATTTCCTACGACAAAAAAAAATGCTCTAGGATTATTTATACAGAACTTTCCTCGTCAGTGTATGTATCGTAATGCTTTGTTAAAAGGGATTAGACTGTATTTCATTCTTACACAACCCAGCACAAAATCTCGTGTTTTTAAATTCAGTTGCATATGTATAAGTACCTAAGTTAAACACAAAATGCGTTGACAACAAATTAATTTAACATAAAATCTTACCAAACATCAGGAACTGCAGAACAGAGGAAAATTAGAAAATTTTGGAATTTGGAAGAGTACATCAAAAATTTAAGATGGTTTCAAAATTTACCATAGTAACGCCATTATAATACCACTTGATCATTACAAAAAAAGGAAAACTAATTGCTGCCACCTACTGTTCTTTTAATCAAAGCAATCATTATCTTAAACAATTAAATATATTATTATTATTAATATTTTAAATTCCTGCAAAATTAATTAAGAATTGAGAAAAATATTGAGTAGCACTAAATTTAACAAAAATGTTTTAATAATCTTGTCCAGACTTGTAAATAGGTAGTAACCCCGCCTAAAGTGACATACATTTTCGAAACATTGTTTAACACTTTTTTTAAATGGATGTTGATGTTAAAAAATTTCAAATCACGTGTCTGGCAAAGACCTTTCTTCAAATTTTGAAAAATAGTTTTATTAAAAAGAGATTGTGAGTTAACAATTATACACAACTAGACGACATCTACGACAAAATCCATATTACAGTACGGAATACAGACGATGTTAATTGTAATG